TTATGTTTTTGGAAAATGATTTTTGGCTTTGAAAAAATGATTTTTGACTTTGAAAAGGTTAAAATTGTATCAGATTTGAAATTTATTTACTAAACATAGATGTTTGTTGAATTATTTTGGTAAAATGGAAAAGATGTTGTAGCTCGGTATATTAGAAGTTCATTTATTATATTTGTTTCTGGTAATATTGTGTCACAACTGGAAAAATTGGGTTAAAATGTGAAAATTCATGTACAATATAACCTCCTTGTGTAACCTTACCACATCTCATCTAGCGAACTTCAAAACTTCAATGCCATTAAAATTCTACTTTTATACATTGACATTTAGGTCAAAACAATCTCATATAAACCCGAAACTCGATCTATAAAGCCAAGTCCAATCATTTTCGGGCCTTAAACACAAATACTCAATCCAACAACCTCGTTTGGGCCAATACCATTCCTAGAACATCATTGGGCTGAAACCTCCTATCTTTGGGCTTTAAAAACCGAAAATCCTTTTATATTGGGCCCAAAGACTCCTCTTGGGTTGGTTAGCCCATTTATTAAAAAAAAGAAAAAAAAAGAGTTCACAAATTATTGCCACATCAAAGTTACCCAACATGTATCCATGGTAATTATCTTACATACTTTTAGGAAGGGAGTATTTGTCCATCATACTTCCAAGCACCATCCACCCTCCCTTCTCTCCTTAAAACTCGTCCATACCACCTCTCCATCACCACTCTCATTTCAACGTTGCATATAACTCCTTTTCCTCTCAAATCTCCTTCATTTCTCTCAAAACATTCGTGGGTGATGGTGCCATCCTCAAGATTTTCTTCAAGTATCATAACTTGGTAAGTCCATATTCATCTCTAGATGTTATATTTCAAGTCTATGCTAAGATCCTTCCTCTTACAACTTCATTTTCATGATTTTGGATCTTTGAACAAAGTAGACAAAATTTCCAAAATTCCAGAATTTACGGATCCAAATTTCGACTTACGATGATTTTTCTACAAATTTTCCAACAACTAGGTCAGAAAAGCCAAAAAACCAGAAAAATGTGTATTTCACAAAAATCAAGCCAAAAATGATATTTTTGACAAAAATGAGTTTAAAATGTTATTTTTACCATAAACTAGTCAAAAACACAAGTTTTGAACAAAATGGGGGCTAAAGTGTTATTTTTACTATAATTGGGCCTTAATTGAAAACTTTGTGGCTTATTGGGCCAAGAACGTCATTTTTACAAAAAGTGGGCTTTTTATATCGATTTTGTAAATAATCGAGCTAAAATAAACAAAACAATAACAAACGGGTTAAAAACGATATTCTTATCCTTATTGGGCCTGGAAATAATATACATGTTTAGTGGGCCTTAGTGTCCTTTTACATGTATATTGGGCTCAGGGTAGACATTCACATTCCTTTTGTGCCTGAAAATAATAGATACGTATAGTGGGCCTTAGTGGTCCACTTACATGTTTATTGGGCCTGGGAATGAGTTTTATATGTGTTCTTCTTTCTTTTCCGTGTAAATTTTCGATTAAGGATCTAGTGAGACCTGTCGGTTGGCACCTTTGAGTGTACAATCGTAGCCTGTAGTTATAACCAGAGTTTCCTGGAGGGAAAGCGAGAGTTTGTGTATAGATCTATACGGGGGTGACACCCCACACCTGAGCTGTTCGCTACAGTTAGACTAGGCCAGTCTAGGGTGACAAAAACCTTATCCTATTCCGTCGGCGTCCCAAAGACGCAAAGACAGGCGAAATTGTCATTATTTAGTATGGTTATAACGACTCACTTAGAGGAATTAACGTTATAAGATTTACGGGAAACCATTCTATTTTCTTTTTGGGATAAAACAGGAAATCATTCTATTTTCTTTTTGGGATAAAACGGGTAACCTTCTTTTTGATAAAACGACAATCTATAAGCATCGGTACTCAACCACCGGGGTTGAGATTTCAGCATTATCTATTGCAGACAACATCGGGTTGTCTGGAAATCATTCTCTTTCTATTTTTGTAACCATTAACACACATGCATTAATATAAGATCGGACACAAATATTTCAAACCATTTCTTTTTAGAAAGTATCAGATATTTTTGAAAGCACTTTGAAAACGATTCTAAACAAGTACAAAAACCATTTTTATTCAAAATTGTTTATGAACTCACCAACTTTTTAGTTGACGCTTTTCAAAACGACTTGTATTCTCAGGAATTCCAGTAGCAGGTAATAAGTTCGACTATAAGATCAAGTGGTGCGACTTCAAGAAATTTTACTTTCTTACTTTTGTGTAACTGATGAACAAGATTCAATATGTAAACTATGTGTGTATTTCCAATGTATGATGTTTGGTTGCTATGTTTCATTCATATTCAATTGTTATGATACTGTACACGAGTCGTCCACCCCCGGACGTTTCTGCCGTCCAGGTTCGGGGGTGTGACATATTGTAATGTGTTTGATATTTCTGTTTGTGTATCTAACATTGAAATTGATTTGAAGCAGCAAAGTTTTTGTTGTGTTAGAAGAAAAGGTTGACTAGATATTATATTTATATTTTTATTGATTTTTTTATTGACTTTGAATTAATATTTTAAATAACTGTAAATGGTTATATCTACGTCAAAAAAAGAAAGGCTTGTGTCAAAAAATAAATAGTCATAAAGCAAAAGATTTGTTTTGGATTCTTTAAAAGTAAATCGTACTTCATATTTACTCTCTTTAAAAGTAAATTGTACTTCACTTACTTCATACTTACTGTATTTTTATAAACTAACAATCAACATATATATTTACATATATTTACCGTAGAAACTATTTGTAATGCTAAATTTATCATTATTTTGAATATTATTTAATTCTTAAAGATAATACAACTTTTGTTATAATATTTATTAATATACAACTAATGTATAATATTTGCTTACATTATACGTTATTATTAATTATATTTTGTAATATCAAAAAGGACAAAACACGAAAAATAATCTATATTTTGTAATAAATAAATAAATGAATTATATTGTAAATTTTTACATTTGGGTTATTGTGTTCACCTATATTACAAACTAAGACATGTTTTGAAAAAGAAAACTAATTGTTCAGAATAAACTATAGGATTCATGTTGAAAGTAAAACTAATTGAAGAAAATAAACTATACAAAAAAAGCATACTAAAAGAAAACAAAACATATCGATTAAAGAAAGTATTTGCCACCGCAACATCGTGCGGTTATAAAACGCAAAAGACTGGAAAAAAAAAGCGATACATAATTTAATATTTAACTTTTCACATGTCCATACTCGCAAAAAAAATAACATCTTTTATTTTAAACGTAGTTCAATATTTTTAAATTTAATATAACATATTTTTACCTTTTTAATTCAAAATGAAACAAATAAAATGGAAAATTATCATTATTTTAATATTATTTATTAAATGAAACTAATCGTCGTCTGTTGCAAAGGGTAATAGACAGAAATGATTATTTGTTGCCCGTCTAGAGACAACTGATCGCCAAAAGGAACAAATCGTCAGAATGAAACAAATTGACGACCACCGAAATGACACTAACTTTTGTTCGAAAACTAATCGCTGGAATGAAACAAATCGTCGCCGCCGCATCGCGCGGGTACGTTACTAGTATATATATATCAGTGTTGCAGAAATCGGTCTTGGCGGCTGATTAATCGCTTGGCGGCCTTGAGTCGATTACGATTAGAGCTTGGCGGTCAAATTAATCGCTTTGGGTCAATATCGGTCAACACCGGTTCTTGGCAGGCTAATCGGCCTACTCGGTCAACCATTGTCAACGAATTAAAAAAGGGAAAAAAATCCATGTTCGGTCAAAATTAGAAAAAAAGGCTCCAAAATCAAACTTAGCCCTAAAAGTTTCGTTCGTTCGCTTACTGCATCTGTTTCTATCCACGAAGCTTTGCCGAGGCTTCATATTATCGTTGCCTCTTGGCGAGTGGCGACAGATTCTGATGCTGGCATCGTCGGCGACACCATCTGATGCCGACACAAGGGACGGCGACGCAACTCAGGTATGTCGCTACTACACTATCTGTTTCGCACTTTCGCCTTGTGATGCTTACAAAAATTCAACTCATTCTTGTTTTTCTTCAGTCGAAATTTGTTTTCTTGTTATTATTGTAAATCTCTTGTGATTTTTGTTGTGCACATCTTCATATCAGTGATTTTTGCTATGTATTTGTTGTGTCCTGATGAACTGTGAAGATAATGAATAGTATTCACCGAAATCTGATTTTTTGCTTCTGTTTTTACATATCTACACATCTTCACATATGTGATTGTGAATGTCTTGTGCTTGTTTGTGGTTGTACATTACAATCTTTGTGGAAATAATAGTTGGTGTAGTTGATTTTTCAACAGATATTAACTGAAATTTGATGTTATTCACTAAAATATGATGTTATTTTGGTTGGGTTTTTAATTTTTTATGTTTCCTGTTTTCAGTGTTTTCTGTTGTGACTAGTAGTTTCTTATGTCCTTGTCATTGTTTAAAAATAGGAAGCATATTCATTGAAATCTTTTGTTATATTTCTATATGTAACAGTTGTGGGATTAACTAATGACACCTAAAAATTCTACTTCACCATCGGTGGGATCTACCGCCACCGTTGCTCATAAACGGAATTTGGATGATATTGGTTGGGAATATGGTTTTTGCCCGGATAAAACTAAGCTGGATAATGTAAAATGTAACCTGTGTGGAAAAGTCGTTAGCAGGGGGATTTCTAGATTTAAACAACATATTGCTCATGTGATGGGAAATGTTTCTTCATGTCCAAACTCTACAAAAGATGATCAATTGAGAATTTGAAATTATCTTAATGAAGGAAAGTTGAAAAAGATAGCTAAACGCACACATGATGAGGCACTAAGATCGGAGGTGATACAAGAACTACATGATAGTGTTGACGTGGATGAAATATAAGATTTTGTGGGGTCTAAAGCACCAAATGTTATAGGCCCCATGAATGACTTTGCAAACAAAATAAACCCCGAAGAAGCTTTGAAGAAGGGAAAGGGAAAAAAAGTTGATCTTAACAATAGTTTCTGGAAATATAGAATATTAGCGTGTCATAAATTCATTAGTAGGTGGGCATATAAAACTTCGATTCCATTTCATGCATTGGAAGATGATAGCTTTAAAATGATGCTGGAGGTTGTTGGCCAATTTGGAATCGGGCTTCCACCTCCTATTAGATATTCTTTGAGTGACCAACTTCTAAAGCTTGAGGTTGAAAGAACAAAAAGTTTGTTGAAAAGAAACGAATAAGAATGGAAAGAGATTGGATGCTCGATCATGACGTATGCTTGGTCCGATAGGAAGATAAGGAGCATTATAAATTTATGTGTAAATTCAAAAATGGGTACCGTGTTTTATCATCAAAAGAAAGTTCAAGTGAAGCACATACAAGCCAACACATATATGATTATGTGGAATCTTGCATTCAACAAGTTGGTCCCGAGCATGTTGTTCAAGTTGTGACCGATAATGCCACAAATAACATGGGACCAACGAAGTTACTAAAGAGAAAAGACCAACTATGTTTTGGTTATCATGTGCGACACACACCATTAATCTTATGCTCGAAGGTATTTATATTTTCTTTATTATATTATTTAGTATTTTAGTTTTAACATGTTTTATTTTATAATATAATTCATTAATTTGTTATTTAATCGTGTTTATTTCAAGCGAAGAAACTAACCATATTCGTTTATGCTCACCACAAAACCTTGGCTATGATGAGAAACTACACCAAGAAAAGGGAAATTATTCGACCGAGAGTCACGAGATTTGTTTCCGCCTTTCTAACAGTACAAAGCTTATCTGAAAAAAAGGAGCAACTAAAACATATGTTCTCTAGCACCGAATGGGAGGAGTGCAAATTTTCTGGTACGCCTAAAATGAGAGCCTCATATGGGAGGGTGACAAGTCTCCAATTTTGGGCTGGTGTGACACAAGGTTTAAAAGTGTTTTCCCCTTTGGTGAAAGTCCTTCGAATGGTTGATGCGGATTGGAAGCCCTCAATGGGTTTTGTTTACGGGGAGATTAAAGTAGCAAAAAAAAGAAATTATGAAAGCTTTGGGTGGTCAAGAGAAAGCCTACAAGCTTGTTATAAATATCATAACCAACAGGATGAAAGGTAGGCTAGATTCAAAATTACATCTGACGGCTTATCTTTTGAATCCTTATTATCATTATAAGGACTCACAACTCCAACATGATCCCGACATAATGGATGTGATTCTTGAATTTTTTTTTATACTTACTTTTTGAGATTTAGAGATGCAAAGACAAGTCGTGACTATTGACTTGCCAAAATACAAGGAAAAGGTTGATAGATTTGGAGTGGAGCTTGCATATTAATCTTGTATGGTGAACGATGCCGACTTTGATCTGGGTAATTTGTTTAGCTTTTATTTATTTATTTTATAAAATAGTAAAATTTTATATCTATTAGTTTAATAATGTGTTTTTGTTTCAAAATTATAGCAAGATGGTGGGGACTTTTTGGTGGCTCGATTCCTCATTTGACAAAGATTACAATGAGGATTCTTTCTTTAACTAGTAGTTCATCGGGTTGTGAAAGGAATTGGAGCACGTTTGAAGCGGTTAGTTATAAACTTATAAACTTTAAATATCAAGAACGTTTTTAACCCTTTTTTGTGTGTACTTTTATAGGTACATACAAAGAAACGAAATAGATTGAAGACAAGTAGATTGAACAATCTTGTTTATGTTCAATTCAATGCAAATTTAATGAAAAAAAACAAAAAGAGAAAAGATAGGACTTTGGAAGTGCTTTTAGCAAACGATTCTCACTCGGCTTAAGAATGGATTGTTGATTGTAATGATCTTGATGTAGATGAAGTCAACACCGAATCAATTATGGAATTGATTGATGAAGCTCTCGGGACTAATGATAATCAAGAGTCCCGCCAAAATTCAACAACTAGAGAACTTTTTGATGAAGATTTCAAGTCCGAGAGTGAGGAGCAAGTGTTTGAAGAAGGTGAATATGAGTCGTATGGAGTTCAAATATTGGAAGAAGTCGGAGGAGATTAGAAGAAGATGAGCATTTAAATCTATGAAAATGTGTTTTTTTTATTATTAAACTTGTTATTGACTTGCACGATGGTTATTACTTAAATGTTTTTTTTTAATGACATTACTTAAATGTTTAAATAGTATATTATGAATTTTTTTTATGGCAACCGAGAACACCCCTAGCTCAGGAGATAGCTAATGCTAGAGTTGGAGCGTATGTGATTAACGAACCGGTAGTTGTTGAACAAGTCAACAACGGACCGATTCCTTTTCATACAGAAACGGTTCAAGAAGGAAATAATGATAACTCAGAAAGTTATCAAGGACCATAGCAGCCAGAGGTCCGAAGGAATGATGAACCAAGAGGATACTGCAAGTATAAGGATTTCACGATTTGTAGGTCATCATCATTTAACGAGAAGGAAGATCCAATAGGATTCATGGACTGGATCTATGAAATGGAGTTGGCTTTCGTAACTTGCAGATGCACGGGGAAGTTGTAGAGCACCTATGGTGTGAGGCAGTTCAAGGGCACAAAACTTCGTTGGTGGAACACGTTAGGAAAGACATTGAGTCCCAACAATCCATTGCAGCTGACGTGGGAAAATTTTTTGACCCAATTTAAAAGGAAGTTCTGTTCCGCTGAGAACATGTTGGAGGTGGAAATCAACTCCTGAACTTAAAGAATGGAAGCATGATGGTTGAAGAATACACCAATTCTTTCACGGATAAAATGGAGTTCACTCTACACCTTGTTCCAAACGAACTAACCAAGATTGACAGGTATGCTAAGGGGCTACCTTGGGAGTACACTGTGCCAGTGAAGCAGATACCTACCTTTGAGGCGGTCGTCTGGGCTGCAATATCTTTTGAAGGGATGATGAAGAAAAAGGATAGGTGACAAAATTAAAGTCGGTGAGAAGAGAAACATTAATGGGTTCTCGGGAAACAACAATAGCAACAAGAAGAATAAGAAGTTCTCCAAGTCAAGCAATAAATCTGGAAGCAACCAAGAAGGGAAGTGGTGCGACCAGTGTATGAAAAAGTACTTTGGCTACTGCGTCGTCTACTTCAAATGCAAGAAACTGGGGCATATTTCTAAAAATTGCTCAGTGAAAGGAAAGTTTTTTTTCAATTGTGTAAAGGAAGCTCACATGAAGGCGGAGTGCCGAAAAGTTGATAAGAAAACCCCAATAATCCTACCAGCAAAACCTAAGGGTCGAAGCTACCAAATGACCATCAATGAAGAAAAGGAAGAGACTGACGTTGCTGAAAGATCTAGTATGCTCAAGAGTCATATTAAAGTGATATTGCTAAATAACATATGATACTAATTGGTCACACTAACAACAACTTGATACAATTGATTATTTATTAGAAATTGATTTTAATAAATATTCAATAAAACTCTTTTAATTAAATTGGAAACTACTTATTACATGGAAATAATAAATTCCATTAGCAAGTAACTTAATATATATCATATGGTATGATTTATAAGTCATGTACAAACTTTTAGACTAGTTAAATCCTTTTTGTCTTTTTCCTAAAAGACAAGACTTATATTTTATAAAAGAGTTTGTAAAAGTTTGACTTTCTTTCTTCTTCTTTATGCAATTTTCGAGATATACATAAAAACAAGAAGTGTATGACTTGTCTAATCATGCTTTAAAGGCATGGGAGGCATGCTTATGACAAAGAGACAAGTTTGTCTAGAGTTGAAGGAACCAATGGTTAATAACTTCACTTTTAGGCACTATAAATATGAGGCTTCCACTCTTGAAGTTTTTGCCTCATTCTTTCTTCCAATGGCTAAGATCTACATGGGAGACTCTCCATATCTTCTTTGCTTTAAGTTATTGAAGATTACTTGCATATCTTTTGCTCTCTTGAAGTTCATGTTGGTTATGAACTTCAAGCTTAAGAGTTTAAGAGTTTTGGACTAGCATCTACATCAAGTTGAGTTATTGTTGGTGTCTCAAAGGTTCCACATTCTTCATCAACTTCCAAGCCTCCCAAGAGGACCCAAAGAACTACAAAGGTTGTTATTTCTCCATCCTTCCTTTGGTTGGTGTTTAATCTTTCTATAATTTGCAAGAAGATCCTTGGTGGGTATAAATTGTTTATGTTATTTCAAAATTAAAGTCTTCCGTTGCCATAATTTTTCTAGTTTATGAAACTATTTTTGAACTAAAACCCAACAATTGGTATCAGAGCCATCTTGCAAGTTTGGTTAGATTTTTTATTTTTGGAAATCTTAGTTTTTGGAGAATATGGATAGCTTGTTTTTGTATAAAAATAAGTTCATACATATTTTCTATGACAACTTTATAATTGTTATTTTTTCATGTAACAATAGTTTCATGCATCTTTTGTCATTTAAAGTTGTCTTAGAAAAACAAAGGTTGTTTGATGTGTATATCGATGTATATGATGTGCATAAACTAGCCAAGGACCAATGTGTTGTTATGTTGTTATGTTGGTTATTTTTATTATAAAATGGTTGTAATAATTTATTTATTCATATGGTATGTAATAATTAAATATATTAGATTTTTTTGTTTATTTTTGTAAAGTAATAGATTAGTTTTTAAAAATAATTTATTTGTACAAAGATGTAATCAGAAATGAAGTTTGAACCATTTTTTGAAGACAAAAGGAAAATTTTCGAGTTCAACATGTGCTGGGCAGAACATGACACTTTCTGAAAAGTGTCATGAATGCTACACATGTGCTGAAAAGGTGCTGAACAGAAAGATGACACTTTCTGAGAAGTGTCATGAAAGTTGCAGTCTTTCCTTTAAAGAAGCTTTTCAAATCTTTTGCAAGCAATGAGTGTTTAATCAAGTGAGAGCTTCTTCAACAACATTACAAAATATTTTTGGTCCCCTTAAATGTCCCTTTAGGATTTGGACTTGGCATTTTTGTGTTGGCTCACAAAAATGTCATTAGTTGGTTATGTTTATGCACATATCTTTTTATGCATGTTTGTGTTGTTTATTTTATGCAATTATTATGTGTGGTTGATAAATTAGTTTTTCACATGCTAAAATAATTTTGGAAAAAATAAACATCACATGGAGTTTGGGTTTTCAAAATTGGACATAAGATGTAACAAGTTATTACTTTAAAATAAAACCCGATTTTATAAAATCGTAAATAACGACAAATTTTGAAATACTTCATTATAAGTTTTTAAATGGTGATTTTTATAACTTATACAAACTCCAAATATATAAGTAATAAAATGAAGTTTTATTAAAGATATAAAAGGTTCAAATGCATTCAAACTTAATACCGGTTATTAAAATTGAATTGCGTCAAATTATATAAAAAAAAACTAGCTTTTTATATAGAACCTTTAAAAACGATTTTCTTTTGAAAATTGATACCATGGTTTATTATATACATGTAATAACCATAATATATCATATGTTTTTTAAAATAGAATTATAAAACATACAAAGACCCTTTTTACAAACCTCAAATCTATGCAATCCTTTTGAAGAACACTCACACATCTCTTGTATGCACTAGTGGGATAAAGTATACCAAACCGCTTAGTGTTATCTTTTGATGGTCGGGGTGTCTTCGCGATTTCTATAACCAAGTTATAGGCCGATTACACAAGTTTTTCAAATTGGACGATTTGATCGGAAATCTTTTGTGATAAAGGATACCTAAGCAAGAGAGTTCTGATGCATAGATGGGATCAAGCATGTCTAATTAAATTTTTATTAGCGATCCCATAAATCTAGGAATTATATGGTAAGATATAATTGATAATCGATATCTACAAAGTTGAATTCAAATGGATAGGATAAATGATACCTAACCATTTATTTGTTTTGCAACTTGGATCCTAGACTTTGATAATTAATGTTTTTGGAAACTAAAAGGGTATTAATTATTAAAGATTAAATATTGAAAATACTAAATGAATTTTGTTAAAATTTTGTAGCCAAATAATCCATTCTCATTATCATGTATTGTCATTTTCTTTAATGACTTAATGAAAATAACATTCAATAGATACAACTTCAATGAATGAGTTCATGTCTTAAGAGACAATCTCGTAAGAGATATGAAATTGTATACACTTAAAGGTCCTAGTCCTAAACTATTTGTTTTGAGCAAATTAAACCTGAACATGATACCTAGTAAAGGCGTCATTGTGATGGTTAAGATGCTTCTAACATCAAGCTAGGAATAGTTATTCATGACTTGTAGGAAATCTTGGATAATTTAAACAAATATCTGATGATATAACATGTCAAACAATATTCCAATAAATACAGTGATATTTTATTTAAAGCTAGTTTAAGCACTGGAATAATGCAAGGCTAAAAGAATCACCTTGTGTGATCCAGGAGGCCCGTGTTTTATGGACTGAACACCTTTAAGCCCAAGAAATCTACTAAAGCCCACATGGATGGATCTTGTTTCTTTTGTGAAGAAACTGGACACTGGAAGAGGATTTTCTCCTCTTCTTTGGAATGAAAGTCCGGAAGAGACTGGTACCTCTTGTATCTACTAGATAGAACTCATACTTTTCATATAACACTTAGGTACTTGATACTTAAATGTTAATCTAATATGTGCAAATGGCTCGCAAATATTTATTGAAGAGTAACCAAGCTGAGCACAATCAAGTTGGAACTACACTCTCGGAGTTTAGTTTATTATTTATGCTTGGAACATAAATTACTTGTAATGTAAAACAATATTTGTTTTGGAACAACGTATGTTTTAATTTAGCATGTCTAAATTTATGTCTCGGTTATTTTATTCAAATGTTTGATCATTTACTTAATCGTTTGTCATAACGATAATATTCATATTCTGAAATGATTAACTTCTATTTATGAGACTAGATCTCTTAATAGAATTATGAAGTAAATATCAACATTTTATAAATAAAATCAAGTTCTATATACAAGCACTTTTGACTTAAACTTGTTTTAAATCAAACTTATCTTGGACATTGATATCTTTATTATATAAATGGCATTCACATA